CCACGCTCACGTAAAACGCACACACGTATGTAGACACAACGCTTATGTTAATGTTTATGTGAAGGCAGACACAGATACACCAAAATAATAGATGTACTCACAAATACCCATAAATACCTTCGCTTATTTGCATGGATGCACACACACACGCACACGCACACGCACACGCACACGCACACACACACGCACACGCACACGCACACGCACACGCACACGCACACGCACACGCACACGCACACGCACACACACACACACACACACACACACACACACACACACACACACACACACACACACACACACACACACACACACACACACACACACACACACATAGTAATGATAGTAATGATAATGAATAATGAAAATAATAATAATGATAATAATAGTATTAATAATAGTAACAATAACAATAACAATATAAATCATGCTACTAATGATAGCATTGATAAGTGGTAATGATAACAATCTTAATAATAGTTGTAATGGTAATTGATAAACATGTTCATGGTATTGATGATGGTAATAATAATAACAATGATTATGCTATTAACAACAATATTGATTCCAATTATAGTAAAAGAAGAACCACTGTTACTATTATCATGACTATGCTTATAAAGAAATAGATAGATAAAAATAGATATAAGTGTCTGAAGCAAAGACAAGACAATTACATTTGCAGTTTCCTAACTGAATGTGGGCATGATGATAATGGAATTAAATGAGTTTACGTGATGCTTCAAGTTGGTTAGCATCTTATTACGTGAGGGGGGAGAGGCAGAGGCACACCAAAGGAGACACATTGGCTGAGAGAGAGAGAGAGCGAGAGAGGGGAGGGAGAAAGAGAGGGGAGATTGAGAAAGAGAGGGGGAGAGGGAGAAAGAGAGAGAAGAGGAAGAAAGAGGGAGAATGAGAGAGAAAGAGAAACAGAGAGAAGAGGAAGAGGAAGAATGAAAGAGGAAGAGGAAGAATGAGAGAGAAAGAGAAACAGAGTGAGAGGGAGAAAGAGAGAGTGAGAGTGAGAAAGAAAAGGGGGAGTGAGAAAGAGAGGGGAGAGGGAGAAAGAGAGGGGGAGAGGGAGAAAGAAAGGGTGAGAGGGAGAAAGAGAGGAGGAGAGGGAGAAAGAGAGGAGGAGAGGGAGAAAGAGAGGAGGAGAGGGAGAAAGAGAGAGAGAGAAAGAGAGAGAGAGAGAGAAAGAGAAAGAGAGAAGTGAGATAAAGAGACAGAATCAAAACAGAAACAGAGAGAGAGAGAGAGATATCGAAACGCCCATTCCGACAGACACACCTCTTCCCCTTTCCGGGTAAATCTTAGCTTCCTTTCCCTTACTACTTGAATATTTCCGCTCCAAAAATATTCGCCTAAAAACAATTTTGTCTTGAAATTTCTCGGTTGCCATCGCCCAGACTTTTGGAAAACTTAAACCTCAGTAGTGTCATAAAAGTTGCGCTGGAAAAAAAAAATAATACTGGTGGTCAGGGGTGAAAACTCAGGAGAATACGATACGATTTCTGAATTTTTAAAATTTTGTTTTAAGTCAGAGAGGATTCATCATTATTCCGAGACATACTGATTATTACGGAAGTCATTCTGACAGTGGCAGTGTCTGTTTTAGGAAAATTTAGTATTATGTTTTTTTCTTTGTACAGGTTTAATACCTTCGAAATATAGAAATAGAAATAGTAATAAAAAAAACAATGAATAGCCATAATTGCATATCTCGGAGCCTTTAATTATTTTATGAAAACATTTCGACGGTGACATTGCATATCCAATAGTCCCCCCGAGAAATGGCTCCGTTTTCTATGTCAAATGATCGATCGGCTTCCTTAGTAACTTCTGCCTGAATTTAATATTTATTCAGGTTTAAATTTAAACTCATGATAGCTCTCTAAATGCCATGGATATCGTCATGCAAAAGTCATCGTCGCGCGTGTTCGTCTGTACATCCATGTGTGTTTGTTTCTGTACGTGTGGTTGATATGATTTAGCGATTCATACTTAAAAAGGGTTATCAAAAACTATGATTTATAGTTAAGAGTTGCTTCCTACACTATCCTATCTCCTTTTATTTCTACACTTCATTTCTACACTACACTTATTTTCCCCTCTTCCTCTTCTCACTCTACACTCTTCACACCCTTTATCATATTTTTTTTCTTCTTCTGCCTTTCTTCCTGCCCACGCCTACTCTTTTCCTCTCCCTGTTTATATTATCTTTCCCATTCGTATATAATGTTATGTACTTTTGCGTTACATTTCTCCCTTTCGACTATTTCTACGTGAACCCTTTTCATTCCTTATTGTATAGTTAATACTTTTTTCCCTAAAATTGTTCATTTATTATCATTAATACTTTACTACTTTTTCGTACCATTTATTTTGTAGTTACACTTGATTCTCTTCTCGATTTCTACACTTCTTCACGTTTTCTCTTTGCACCTTTTTTTTCATTCTTCATCATTTACATTATCATCCTCCCCTCCCCCCCCTTCTTCCCCCTCTTTCATTCTTAACACGTAACACGTACTACTGCTCTCCCCTTCCCAGCCCTCACTTTTAACTTTTCCTCTCTCCCTCCCCCTCCCCTCCCTCTCCCTCACCCCTAGTGCTTAAACCTCCCTTCCTTACCTTTAATGCCCTTCCCTATCCCTTGTTCTTGATGTTTGTCCCTCCCCTCCGCACCCCTTATCCTCCCCTCCTCATCCCTTACCTTGGATACTTTCCCTTTACCCTTCCCGCCCTACCCCTTGCCTTTTCCTCCCCCCCCCCCCTTACTCTGAACACTTCCCCCTCCCCCTCCCCTCCCCTCCCCACCCCTTACCTTGAACACTTCCCCCTCACCCTCCCCTTCCCTCCCCTTCCCTCCCCTCGCCCTCTCACACTTCTCCCTCCCCCTCCCCTCTCCACCCCTTCCCCCTAACACTTCCCCTTCACCCTCCCCCTCCCCCTCCCCTTACCCCCTTCCTCCCCTAAATTCATCACTCGTGTCTTGAGTGAATTGGCGTACTGACCCTTAATTGGATTATCCGTAACGGTGACTTTCCCAAACACGATCATTTTCCCGAACGTGGTGGCTGTGGGGGGTCAGTTTATCGATGATTTTGCTTTCAGTCGGTTGATGCTGTTTTTGTTTCGTATTTGGTGTTTGTTTTTGTTTGGTTTTGTATTTTTTTTTGTATTGGGGGGTGGGGGGAGGGTTTTTGTTTGTGGGTGTTTTTGTGTTTGTGTTTTTTTGTGTTTGTTTGTTTGGGTTAATTGTCGGGTTGTTTGTGTGTGATGTCTGTACCTCTTCCGTCTCTTCTTCTTTTCGTTCTCTTGTTTATCATTCTCCTCTTTCTTTTTCTTATTTTTCATCCTCTTCGTCTTCCCTTTTCTTCTTCTGCTCCTTATCTCTCTTCTTCCCTTTTCCTCGCGTCCCCTCTTTCTTTCTTCATATTCTCCGCACGCACTTCACTTTTTTTCTTTTCTTTTTTTCTTTTTACTTTTTCTTAATCGTCTAGACACTTGTGCAAGCCTTGGCAATAGTCACATCCTGTTGAACCATGACATTTTGACCAATATCTTAATCTTTTTTACTATTTTCTTTTTCTCTTATTCTCTTTCCTTCTCTCTCTCTCTCTCTCTCTCTCTCTCTCTCTCTCTCTCTCTCTCTCTCTCTCTCTCTCTCTCTCTCTCTCTCTCTCTCTCTCTCTCTCTCTCTCTCCCCTCTTCCATCCTCCCTCCCTCCCTCCCTCCCTCCCTCTTACCTTCCCTCCCTCCCTCCTTCCTTCCTTCCCCCTTCTCTCTCCTCCCTTCCTCCTACCCTTCCTTCTTCCTTCCTTCTTTCTTTCCTTCCTCCCTCCTTTCCTCCTTCCTTCTTTCCTCCCATCCCTCCCTCCCTCTCCTCCCTCCTTCTTCCCTCCCTCCCTCCTTCCTTCTTCCCTCCCTCTTTTCTTCCCTTCCTCCCTTCCCTCTTACCCACCCACCAACCCACCTTCTATCCTATCTCCCTCTACCCATCCCTTCCCCCGCCCACCCCTCTCAAATCAACCCCCCCCTCCCCCCTCCCCATTTCCCCCGCCCCCCTCTCAAATCAAACTCCCCCTTCCTTCCCCCCCCTTCCCCCTTTCCCCCGCCCCCCTCTCAAATCAACCCCCCTCCCCCCTCCCCATTTCCCCCGCCCCCCTCTCAAATCAAACTCCCCCTTCCTTCCCCCCCTTCCCCCTTTCCCCCGGCCCCCTCAAATCAAACTCCCCATTTCCCCCGCCCCCCTCTCAAATCAAACTCCCCCTCCCTTCCCCTCCCTCCCTCCCCCTTTTCCCCTTAATTCGACCACCTCGCATCGGCAACGCAGGTTTCTTGGCGACAAAGTGTTCCTAGGCGGACGGATCAATTGCGTAGATGTTTATGCTAATTTGGGACGATTTGGGTTACTTTCTTTTTGGTTTAGGCGATTTTTGGTCTTGGGGGCAAGGAGGTGATAAGGGGAGAGTTTGTTTGTTTGTTTGTTTGTATGTGTGTATGTTCGTTTGTTTGTTTGTGTGTGTGTGTGTGTGCGTGTGTTTGTTTGTGTGTGTGTATGTGTTTGTGTGTGTTCGTTTGTTTGTGTATCTATGTAAGTGCGTGTGTTTGTTTGTGGATGGGTGTATTTGTGTGTGTGTGTGTGTTCGATTGTTTGTTTGTGGGTGGGTGTATTTTTGTGTTTGTGTTCGATTGTTTATTTGTGTGTGGGTTCGTTTGTTTGTTTGTGTGGGTGTGTGTATGTGTTTGTTTGTGTGTGTGTGTGTGTGTTTGGCGAGCTATAATTAAGTCCATTATCAAATATTGTTCTTTCTCTTTACCTGCATCGCATATATAATTACAAATAAATTCTGTTTTCAGACTAAAAATTGCAAAAAAAAAAAAAAAATCCTTTTGGTCAGCTCATGTCCACAGAATAGTTTCCCGTAACAGTCGCGTCTAAAATATATTGCTTATATAAAATCTATTAAAATCTATTTCTTTTTCTTCCTCAGGTGAGTTGAGTGCAGCGTGATGGTGCACACGTAAGAAGAGTGAAACAGTAAGTAAACAAAAACAAACACAATTTACGAAAGAGAAGGAAATACCACGATACTTCAGAATCGATAGAATGAGAGAGAGAGAGAGAGAGAGAGAGAGAGAGAGAGAGAGAGAGAGAGAGAGCGAGAGA